CAAAATAAGGAAAGACTCTTAGAGAGCAGGCAGACAGCTCTGGTGGTGGGGGAGGTGGTGGGGGCTGGGGGCTGGAGGAATTGAGCAAAAAGGGAAAAAAGAAAGAAAACTCATGAACACAGACAATTGTGATTGGGGGGGGTGAAAGTGGAAGAAGGTATAGGGGGGATAAATGGTGATGGAAAACATAAAATAAAATAAAATAATAAAATAATAATAAAATAAAATAAAATAAATAAGAAAAAAGAAAATCACTCATAAGATACATAGAACAATGCAACAGAATAGAGAGCCCAGAGGTAAACCTATGCCCACATGTTCAATTAATTTGCAACAAAGGAGCCAAGAATATACAATAAGTAAGGGCAGTCTCTTCAGTAAATGGTGCTGGAAAAACTGGATAGCCACACACAAAAGAAGGAAACAGGACCACTATCTTACACCATACAAAGAAATTAATTCAAATGTTTTAGGACTTGAATGTAAGACCTGAAAACATAAAAATCCTAGAAGAAAAGATAGGAGGTAAGCTCCTTGACATTGATCTTGGCCATGACTTTTGGATTTGACACCAAAAGCAAAAGCAACAAAATAAGAATAAGTAAGTAGGGCAACATCAAACTAAAATATTTNAGTAGGGCAACATCAAACTGAAATATTTCCACAAAGCAAAGAAAGCCATCAACAAAATAAAAAGGCAACACACTTAGTGAGAGAAAACAGTCGCAAATCATATATAAGGGGTTAATATCCAAAAATATAAAGAATTATACAACTCGAGTAAAACAAAAACAAAAAAAATTAAAAATGGGGAGAGCATCTGAATAGGTTTTTTCCGAAGAAGACATACAGATGGCCAGCAAGCACCTGAGGGGTGCTCAACATTGGGAGTCCTCCAGAAAGTACAAATCAAAACCATAGTGAGATGCCACCTCACACCTGTTAGAGTGGCTATGAAAACAAAACAGAACAAAACAAAAACAAGAGATGACAAAGGCTGGCAAAGATGTGGAGAAAGGGGAACCCTCCTGCACTGTTGGTGGGAATATAAACTGGTGCAGCCACCATGGAAAACAGTCTGGAGCTTCCTCAGAAATTAAAAAGAGAACTACCTTACGGCCCAACAATTCCACTGCTGGGTATTTATTCATAGGAAATGAAAAAACTAACTTAAAAAATACATGCACCCCATGTTCACTGCAGCAATATTACAATAGGCAAGATATAAAAACAACCTAAGTGCATATCCGCAGATGAACGGGTAAAGAAATTGTGGTACATACACACAAAGAAATACTGTTTAGCCATGAGAAAGAAGGCCGTGTTATCATTTGCGACGTCCTGGAGAGCCCTCGAGAGCATCGCACTAAGTGAAACAAGTCAGGCAGCCTACTGGTCGCAGAGCCAGCCGTTTGCTCCAGAGCCTGGCTCGCATCCCCGGCAGCGTTGCATACGCCACCCGCTTTCGGAGAGGATTATATTTAGGCCAGTGAGGAATCTCAGTGCCCCTCTGCCAGGGCTGGCGCACAGCCTCCCCCTGCGGCCTCTCGGGCCCAGTCTCAGCAGGCCTGCAGGGGGCTCCGCTTAAAGCGCAGTCACACTGCTTCACCCCCAGCTCGGGGCTCCCCTCTCACTCAGAATAACACCCTTCTCCTCCCTCAGACCTCCAGGCTCCCGCCTGTTTTCAAGCTCCTTCCCTGCCCTCCCTCCCCTCTGCTCACTCGCCACCCACCTCCGACTCTTGCTGTGCTTGGAACTCATCCCCCTCAGGCTCTTTCCTCACTCCTTCTGCTCCAATGGCATCTTCTCCAGGAAGCCGTCCACGACTCCATTTAATTTGCTCAGATCCATCTCGCTATTTTTCTTTTTTATCGTCTTTCCTTCACCAAAAGTGACAAGAGGGGGCCTCGTTCACCCTGTTTATTGCTGCACCCCCAGCAGCTAGAACAGGGCCTGACTTATTGCAGGAATTCAAGTATTCGTTGAATGAACAAATAAATAAATGGATGAGTTATGCAGTTTTCATTATCTGAAAACTAGAGATAAAGTTTGTATTTTGAGACCTAATTTTTAAGAGGAATTTGTCACATGAGTCCTTATACAAAATTTGTAATAAAATAGAAGACATTTTCATTAGTATAGCTCATAAAATTAACAACAGAATACCACTTACTGTGACTCTGCCTTCTAAAATAGATATTTAATATTTCTTAAGGTGTGGAATTGGCAAAGAAGTTACCCTTAAATCTTGATTCTTTTTTAAAAAAAATCTCTTAATTGGCCAAGACTTGCGACTTTATCAGTTATCAAGCCAGCGCTGAGCAGAGAACTTGCAAAGTGTTTGCTGCTGGGCTTATCTCATGGATAAGCAATGTCACCTTCCCTCGTCGTCTGTTACCGACAGCCCTGCCCTCCTCTTCCTCCCTAAGGATAGAGCCTATTTTCCCCCAGCAAAGGCTGGTGCCAGCCCTGCTCTCTGCGACATCAACCCAGAGACCCGGTGCTGGGGCCCCCACCCGGGCACAGCGCGGGCCTCACCTGCTTTACCCTGACGAGTGTGCGCAGGCCCCGCACCCGCCTGCCGGTCTCGGTGGCAGGCTCCAGGCCCAGCCTTTCAGGGGGGCGCGGGCCAGCCAGTGAGAGAATACAGCTGCCCAAGGAAAGCTCTCACTGTCACTGAAATACATCTCTCTCCCCTAACTTCTCCGTTTCAGTGGATGTAATTTTTCCATCGTAAAACTAAGGGGTGAAGAGGAGATTGAAGAGGAAGGGCTGGCTGGGAGCCGAGCACAGTGACTCTATTTGAGGTGAGGCTGAGGCTTTGGTGGGACAGGCTGGGCTGAGTCGCCTGTTCCCTCCCATGGACACTGACGCGGCCAGCTGAAGGCCTGCGCCAAGAGGTCTGTCCGACCGGCCTCCTTTTTGGTTCGGGCGCTCAGCTGAGTAAGTGGGGCCGCCTCTCCGCCCTCACTTTCTCCTTACAGCCCAGTCTCCTAAACCCCAATTCAGACCTCTCGGTCCTTCCTCGGCTGATTCAGTGCCCCAGTAAAACTCCAGGGTCCCTGCCCTTGTGGAGATCCCCATGGCGATACCACCCCATTTCTCAAAGGAAGGCTCGAAGGCTCATGGACACCGGGGCCGAGCCTGGGGTTCAAGGCCCTCTGAACTCAGCCCCAGGTTTATCCTGGGCTGCAGCTCCACTGCTCCCCACGTAGCAGGAAAGCTCCGCCTTCCCTTCCCCGCGTCCTTGCGCACACTCCTCCCTACGCCTGGACAGCCTCTGCACCCTGCTCCCTCTCACTCCACCTCCCACCTGTCAACACTCTAAACTGTCCTCCAGAGCTTAGCTCAAAGCGAGACCCTCGCAGGCCCCTCGTGACCCTGCCCAGGACGCCTGCTCTCTGAGTTCTCACGGGACCTTTCGTGTACTTCCGATACCCATCGCGTTGCGCTTGGTACCAAGTTCAATGTGCATCTAACTCTGTTATTAAGCCATTGGAGAGAAGGTCCCGTGTCTTCTCCATGTTGGTGGCTCCACCTCAGCAGCTGCTTCCCACACAGGGTACCTTCTACAAAAGGTGACCATATAGTTTGTTATAATTTATTGTCCAAACTAGAACACTTTTGAGAGTGAAAGGGGACACTCTTAATAATTATGCCGGGCTACAAGTAAAACTAAAATTGTCCCTGGCTACTTGGTCACATGTGGTCTCTATATGGCAAGGCCTCGGGGAGCAGTTTCTGAGTCAAGTGGAGATGCTTACAATGTAGTCAGCAGTGAACAGCGTGAAAGGGCGGAGCTGGTACTGCTGGGGGTGGTTCCACTGGGCAGGTGGTCCCTGGGGTGCGTCTGGAGGGAAGGAGCAGGATTCAGGAAGGTCCAACTAGACAGAGGGAAGAAGAACTGACATCGCGGAAGGATAGGACGGCGGCAGCGAAGACAGAACCACGTTTGATCCACGCAGAGTAAGAGTTTGTGGCTGAAGTTGATGGTTTATATGGAGAAGAAGCAGGCAGCACGGTTGGAGGAAGCCGGAGTCATCGCCGGTGTGTGTCGGGGGTCTTTACACAGGAGGGAAGAGCGGCAAACACTGCGTGTTTCTGAGCAGAAAGGAGACGAAGAAAATGCAGCAGTTTAGGGAGGTTATTCCCATGGTCGCGCTCAGAGAGCGGGGAGGCTGAGCAGAGGGAGGCCGCCGGGGCCCCGGAAAGAATCTGCCAGGTGACAGGAATTCAGGGGCAATACTGGCAACCGGAATGCGTGAGCCAGGAGAACGGAAAAGGCCGAGTTAACAGCACTCTGTGAGCCCAGGGAGCCGGGCACAGTGTGGGGTGACGCCGCGCACAGATGCGACGTGGGCGCCACAGACTGGAATAAGGAGGCAAGCGGCAGGGGTGCTTTGGACGGAGACGGTGCATTTAGGCTTGTACGCACCGAGTGTGAGGCACCGGTGTGCCCTCTGCACGGAAGCGTCCGGCAGACCCCGAGAGGAGCCCTGGCGGTGGAGAGCTGGGCCAGCGCCCACGTCCAGGGCGGCGGCCCGGAGCGAGCAGTGGGGGGAGAGAGCGCGAGGCCTGTCCCGGGCCAGCGGGGAGAGCGCGCTGAGTGCCAAGGGCTGCATCTCAGCAAAGCGCGGACCTAACGGGGAGGGAGCCACCCGGAGACCAGCAGGGACCCGACCAGGACCTGGCAGCGGAGATAAAGACTAAGGTGAAAAACATTTAAGGAAGGAACCGGAAATGGGTTTCCCTGGCCCGTGATATTGCCAGAGACTGATTTTCTGCCCATGCCAAAGGCATGTGGATGTGATGTGTGTGTTTCCACCCTGAACCAGGATTAATGGCCGAAAAGCCAAAAAGCCAGTTAGATTCCACAAAAATATGAATTCTTCTGATATTAACAGAGCCGTGACCGATGACCAAAATACTTAAACAATAGCTACTAACCTCTGATACCTTTTTTCACCCAGAAGGTAGCAATACTGGCCATAAAAGAAAGAGCTCTTCTTGATACAGATTCCATCATAATGACACCTGAAAAATGAAGTTGTCTTAAAGATCATGTCAAGCCACTGGCATGCTTTATAGAAACTCAAACAGACTAGCTAATGCACACGTGGGCTTCTCCAGGCTTTATCATTGGCCCCCTTTATTAGGAAAAGCTAACAGTCACTCAGCCTGACCAAGCTCTGGTAGGTCAACAATTTCATACTATTTCAAAAGCATCAGCTTTTAACAGGGCCTGTGAATGTTCTACTCTGCATTCTCAGTATATGAGGCTCATTCTAATGGGGGGGACTCAACAGGGGAGGCCTCCTGCTGCTGCGGCCATTAACCTCTTTAAAGTAACATGAAGCTACACCCAGGTTCTCTTCTGCTGGGCGCTGGGAGCTGGGAGGTGGGAACTGGGAGGTGGGAGCTGGGAGCTGGGAG